AGTCAAGAGCAATAGCCACTCCATGTCGGTGATGTCTATCTGTTGGGTCACTACACGAGTAATACATAGTAATATTATCTTTCGTAAACTGTCCAGATCCAGACCATCGGACTTCACTGACTCCCATTATATTTATTTTCAGCCGATTCATTTCCTTTATAAGGTTGTGTAGTTTTCCTGTTTCGTAAAGACTATTAACATTCCATGTTGAAATTCGTTGGATATCATCTATTTGGCACCGGGAGATTCTTCGCACCCTCTGGCCATCTAAGGTCTGCCCGGGACTGAGGGCCATCTGAGTTTTGTTTTGTTCTGCCATAATAAGATGAGTTATCCTGGGGAAAAGGTAGTGTTGTAGTATCCCGTTACTTTCAACACCGCAGTACCACAGCCATTCAAACTGTCCTAGTCATGACTGTGGAATTCCAAAAACAAGCCGGTCCAAGATAATTTCTTTTGCGCCTTGCGTTGGTACTGGTGATCTCTGCTGATCTTCACCATGGTTGAGGACTAGGAGGGATAAATATTAAGGGTGTAGGATAAAGGCTCTGGGATATGAGATTCCACGGTGTGAGATGGTGGAATATCATGAGCTAGCGTGGGCAGGGTCGCTAATCCCTGAAGTAGGTCTGTTTCCACCGGGATTGTGAAAAGTACCTACCCGCTACCCACCCTTAAAGTACCGTTGGTTGTCAAAGGGTACATAACACTAAAATCAACAACCAAACTGACAACAAATAAATTGAATAAAATTGTAACACTAGAAAAAGAACAACAAGGTTTATGTCGGAAAGATCATGCACCGACGCTCTATTTATAACGAGGTAAGTGGAAGAGAAATCATTACAATACAATAAATCAGCATATCTATGTTTTTGGACCCTAAGAAGGCATTAATCGGGTCAAATTAAAGGACGTAATTTACTTATTTTACGCAAGAGAGATACTTCTAGGAATAATCAAAACGATCGAAAATATTTATCAAAGCAACACAATAACAGTAAAAGTAGAAGAAGAACTAATGGACCCTATTGAAGCTAACAATGGGATGAACCAGGGAGATTCCCTGAGTCGTCTATTGTTTAACCTGATTATGGATGAAATAATAAAAAAGTGAGAACTAAAAAAGGATACCACATGGGAGAAAAACAGCTTAAAATAATCTGCTATGCAGACGACGCAATACTCTCAAAGTGAAGATGATTTACAACGTATGCTGAATCAATTTAATATAACAGCCAGAAAATTTACCATATTAATTTCCCCAAACAAGGCAAAATGCATGGTTACAACAGCAAATTAACTAAGATGTAAATTGGAGCTGGAAGGTCAAATAATATAAGAAGTGATGAAGTTTAAATATCTAGGCATCACATTATCTAGTTAGGGAAATCTCGTAACGGAAGTTGAAAATCAAGTGAATAGAGCAAGAAGATCCGAAGGTTGCGTGAATGAAACAATATGAAGAAATAAAAATATCGGAGAAGAAATAAAAGCCAGAATTTACAAAACAGTTATCAGACCAATAATGACATACGCGACAGAAACACGACCTAACACCGAGAGAACAAAAAGGATGTTAGACACAGCAGAGATGAATTCACTGAGAAAAATTGATGACAAGACATTCTGAAACAGAGGTTGAAGTACAGATATACGATGTAAATTCAAGGTGAAGAACATCAAGGATTGGGTAAGAAATAGAAGAGTAGAATGAAACGATCATTATATAAGCCGAATGACATTAAAAAGAGTAGTAAAGACGGCAAGAGATGGTTCTCCAATAGGAAGACGATCAGTAGGAAGACCATGAAGTCGATGGAACGACAACTTACTGGAGGCACATTGAAAAACAAACAGAGTCATGCCTACATAAAAAGTAGAAGGAAAAAAGAAGAAAAAATCCACTAGGAAACTAAGTTCCTGTAGCTGGCTGTATACCATATATCACAAAAAATTTATTTCAAATCCTTTATAAAAGATATATAATAAAATGCCCAAACGGGCTATCACAATTACATTACAAAACGTTTTCGGATTGTTAAATCCATCATCAGTGTAAACGAGGTATACATGCTATGAGCCACCAAAATATATGGGTTAAAACCCTTTAAATGTTATAAATTTACAGTTGTTTTACATTATATATGGTTACAGATTAGGATGTTTAAGTTACCGTTGGAATTGGTAACATGGCGACGTAATAGCCTACATAGGTAAAATGGTTCTGAGACAAAGTGTCTTCGAGGACCTGTTGATAACCTGTTAATAAGGTTATCAACAGGTCCTCGAAGACACTTCGTCTCAGGACCATTTTACCTATGTAGGGTCATACGTCGCCATGTCACCAATTCCAACGGTAACTTAAACATCCTAATCTGTAACCATATATAATGTAAAACAACTGCAAATTTATAACATTTAAAGGGTTTTGACCCATGTATTTTGGTGGCTCATAGCATGTATATCTCGTTTACACTGATGATGGATTTAACAATCCGACAACGTTTTGTAATGTAATTGTGATAGCCCGTTTGGGCATTTTATAATATACCTTTTATAAAAGATTTAAAATAAATTTTTTGAAAGAAGAAGAAGTATAAAACTCAGAAAATGTGTTATACCTTAGATTACAGTTCCCAAAATATAATGTGTAAAATCGGTATGATGTATGATGTTGCCATGCGTAAAATGACGGAAACACCGTGGAAAATTCCACAAAATTTTATTTACGGTTCTGTTATATCGTGAAGATCTGTCCATTAATCTGAATTAACTGGCAATTAATAATAAATACCACAAATCGCATAAGTAAAAAAGATAAGAACTTAAAAAGATACCAAATTAATGAAACTACAATTGATGTAGTTTAGTTTTTAAATAGCTTATATTTTATATAGTATAAATATATACTATATTGAATTTATAAATACCTATAAAAATTGTATTAGCATTACATGGCACCCCACACAAAGTAATATAATATTAATTCATATATTGGAATGATACCTCGCACCCTTTTGAAAAATATTTGGTCTTTTCTTGAATTTTTTGTCTTTTACACTGAGCATTTCATTATCGTCAAATTCGTTTTATATACTATTCAACTACTTGGTAACACAAAGAAGTCTGCCAAATTTTCAGGATATACTTCAATCTTCTGAGGATTTAATCATATTTAAGCATTTTAATCTTATTCCAGAGATGCAAAGACGTCATCTGCTACGTATAGTCATGTCTGGTTAATTTACGAGAAAGCGTTTGATCGAGAACAGCACACCAAGATGATGCAAATACTAAAAGAAGCAGGAATTAACAACAAGATCTGAAAATAATTAGACATTTTACTGGAATCAGACAGCAAATCTCAGAGTTGTAGGTGAACACACCGACTATATGAAAATCATGCGTGGAGTGAGGCAAGGCTATATTTTGTCTCCTCCAATCTTCAATCTGTACTCTAAAAGAATATTTATCGAAGCTTTGCACGAAACTGAAAAATGTATTCGACTAAATGGCTACCGGGTAAACAACATCAGGTATGCAAATGACACCATAGTATTTAAACTACAAGTTTTTATGAATAAAATCACGTATTACAGTCAACAATATGGACTCAATATAAACGTTGGGAAGACAAAGCTTATGATAATTAACAAGAAAAGGATAACAGAAGGTCAACTCCACATCAACCAATCTCCTGTAGAAAAAACGACGCATTACAACTACCTCGGCACTATAATAAATGAAGAATGGACCAACAACCAGGAGATTAGAGCACGCGTCCCAAAAGCTAGATACACCTTTAATCGGATAGGGGCCTTCTTCAAGAGTCACAACCTCTCTCTTGATACAAAAGTAAGAATGCTGCGATGCTACGTCTTGACCTTTTTGATGGTGTCGAATCGTGGACCTTGAAGGAAGATATGTGTAAAAAACTGGAAGCATTTGAAATATGGCTATAACTGAGAATACTTAATCGGAGAAATCGTGGACTGACCGAGTCACAAATGAGGAGGTCCTTAGAAGAATGACTAAGAACCAAGAGGTACTGACCACCATTAAATCTCGAAAGTTACAATTCTTTGGACATATTATGCGAAATGAATCCAGATCTGCTCTCCTTCAAGCCATCCTGCAAGGAAAAATATTTGGAAAGCGAAGTCCAGGAAGAAGAAGAACATCTTGGTTTAAGAACCTCAGAATCTGGTTCAATACAATATATGTGCAGCAACATTTGTAACGGATAGGCATATCAAGAAGAAGAACAAGCGTTTTAAACATTTTCATTTCACTGTGCGATGGCTAAAGAATTAATCTATAATTCTTTTTACCTAACAGGTAACCTAGAAGTCATAAAAGTCCACACATTATAGTTTCACCAAAACCACATTCTTTTTTTATTGTAATAAAATAGTCTGTTTGAGAATAATTTTAATTACTTTAGATGTAACAATTAGACTTTGCCTCTTTCGCAAGATTATGTTAACAATCGCTATATCTAATGCTTTTAAGAATATCAAAGTATCATTTTCGTCATTATTTCTAGCCCTCCATATATCTTTCACATCCTCTTTTATATGTTTTCTAATTATTTATAAACAGGTTTTTCTTCATTCCCATAAAAATTATTAAGAAGCACACACGCACATACATTTAACAATTCTTTATTAATATTGTTCTATCTCTCGTTCTCTTTTACTTTTTTTAATATTAATTATACCAACTCCATTCCTAGCGTTAGTTTTACCCACATATTACAATTTATATCCTCCACCTAGTTCTGTCTACGTTTTTTCTTCGTATCTTTGTTAGTTCGTCTCTTATATCCAAGTAATTTTTAATCTTCTTCTTTTAACTACATCTACTTACCCCATATTTGTAGATGGGATCTTAATACAGATACCCAGATCTTTTTCTCTGTTTCTGACGAACATGATTAAGTTTTTTTATTGTGTCTTATCTTTATTAAACATTTTTAATTATGTATCATTTTTTAGTCTATATATGGACTCACTGAAACAACAGCTTCCGTATTTTTTTCCATGAACAAAGAAATCGAATATTATGGCAGCCATACTGTAGGAAGAGTTCAAGATCATTTAGAGGTAAAAGTAGTAGACAAGGATGGCTATATTGTCCCAATGGGTACTCCAGGTGAGCTGTTTGTACGCGGATACACTACTATGGTGGAGTATTTTAATAATGAGGAGAAAACGAAGGAAGTGATTGATAAGAATGGTTGGTTTAGGACAGGGTAAGTTTTATCTAAAACAATGGTTAACACATTTTTGCTTATCTTGGCTCCTAAATAAAAAACCGAGGAATGCAGTGAAGAAACTAAAAGAAGAACTGCACTAGCCAATCAAGAAATGACAAAACTTACAAAGATTTGGAAAACTCATCGCCTAAAGCTTAACACCAAAATAGAAATTAACTTTGAAAAATAAGGCTATTATCGAGCACAAGTTTAGTTAAATATTGCCCAAGTACTTTCGCTTAAAATAGCATCTTCAGGGGCATTTCGTCAAATATGAGCTATCCGGCAAGCGTAGAATGTGAAAAACATGAGTAATAACATAAAATTGTACAATTTACTACAAATAAAGCAAGAACAAACAGTTTAAAATTACTTAAAAGATTCTACGCACCACATTCTTTGTCAATATTAGGAGGGAGAATGATTTCTCATTCTCCCTCCTGATACTGACAAAGAAGCTTGCTGGATAGCTCATATTTGACGAAATGCCCCTGAAGATGCTATTTTAAGCAAAAGTACTTGGCCAAGATTTAATTAAACTTGTGTTCGATAATAGCCTTATTTTTCAAAGTTCATTTACTCGAGCATTCAACCTTATATCAAAAATAGAAATTGTTAAAAGCCCAGTATTCCTATACGCATCTGAATGTTGAACATTAAAATGAACAGATAGAAAGAAATTCGATGCCTTTAAAATGCATTGGTAGTGTCGAATGCTAAGTGTGTTTCGGAATGAGAAAAGAACTAATTTATTAATCCTTTAACTTTTGCAAACAAATGAAAGTAGATCATTACATTCCTTTTCACTCTCCTTTCATTAGGAGCACTTGGAGTAGCTTAAATTGAAAATAATTGTAATCGTTTACTTTCATTTGAACTTTTCTCTATGTAAATAGTGCAAAAGATGGTATTTTTTAAGGAAAGTAAACTGTAGAGTTATTGTCGAAATAAAAGGTTATTCGTAACATCGTCCAATACCTTCCAGTAGCTTGGATTGGCAGTTTGCCTAATTCTGAATAGAAGAGACGTCTCTTGACTTCTCGTTGCTTCATATAGAGGTCGGTAGTAGCGTACATGTTATGTTGTTATTACGACCAAATAGTTGAGAGCATTATCATTTCATTTCAGTTATATATACATATAAATACACAATGTGAGTGAGATTAAAATCTCACTGTAAATGAGGATATCGGTCAAGGAGAAATAAAAAATGAAAAAACTATTTCAATCTTTTAATAGAAAACGTTTCGTGCAGTATTTATGCACGTTCTTTCTGCACTTTCTTCAGTTCTAAGGATTGTAAAGTTCTATATAGATGTCAAACAATGTCAAATGCATATGTTGAGATGTTATAAAATTGCATTCAGAATTTTATTTAAAATTTATACAAACATTGAAAAGTTACAAAATGTCACAATATGTCAACAAGAACAGTTTAATATAATACAACACTTCTATTCTATCGCTGATGTAAAATATCTCGAAACATGAAGCCAGGAGACAAAGTACCTTGTTTTAATTAGAGCTCAGTGAACAATTTGAAAAAACTATTTTTATTGAAAAAAGTATGGAAGTTAACTTTATTGTTAGATACACCAAGGTAATTAAAAAAAAGGAACTATTTTTGATAGATAGGGATCTACTATTCCGAAAATCAAAACAAAAAATAAAATGGCTTTGGAAATCAGTCTCTGTATGAAAAATTAACTGATGACAAAATTATTTATTTACAGCACAGAATATTTTTATTATTATTGAGTTAATGCCTCGACAACTATAATCATTGGCATGGTACAGTCAGGTACCTATTGTAGTGTGTGTGTGTGTAGAGTAATTGTCTTGATACTTAACAAAGTCGACGTCATTGTCTTTGCTAAGAGACGCTAATTGTATCCGAACGTCTGCGGTCCCTCCGGTGAGTACCGATCGCACAAGGATAGAAATTATTTTCATTCATTAATTTTTAATAAACGAAAATTTCTCCACCCAAATGAGATTCGAACTCACGAACTTTATGTTTAAAGGTAGGCGCTCTTACCACTGAGCCACAGAGGGGATGCAGGACAGAATAGAAAAGTCAATTTGTTTAAAATCTAATTATAAGAGGTTTGGTAATAAAATGTAATGATGACCATTGCTGGGGAACTATGTGGTTCCTTTTGGAAAGGATTTTACATCGAAGTGTGATGTATGAAGATTGCTAAAGTTCTCGTTGAAATGAAAATAAGAATGAAAATATCTAAAACGACAGGTCTATGATGACTGTGTGGGAAGTCTGTAGTAACCTTTATGTGTAGGCAGTGATTTAAACTTGTTATTGGTGATTAAAAAGTAGAGATCCAGTAGTTTCTGCCCCAGGCTGCTGAATACAATGCGCTATTTTTCTTAGAAACAAAACAAATATTCAGTGTTCCAATCGACAAGCAAGAACAAAAAATATGGAGAAATTTGTTCGTTGTTCTAAACATAACGCCATCTGGTGATGACTTTTTATGTTTTCGGCGTATATCGTTGAGTGTTTATATACGTGAGGTACTCTGCCAGTTTTGATTTGCTGGTTTGTAGACATCTAGTGTATTATATTGTCTACTTTTATAGCTACAATATAGATGTTATTTTCTGCACTGGTAGAGTATAAATGCGCATTTTCAGTATCATTGGGTTTTCTTCTTTGCAAAATAAGAATGAAGTTACGCAGATGTCAGTCAATACAATCAGGTTTATAAAAAGGCAAAACATATTGGCAAATAAAGAAATTATTTTTGGATTATGGACTCAAACCCTGCCTTTAAGATCATCCCATAGGTGCTCGATGAGATTTACATCCGAAATCAATAAAATTTATATTGGTGTCGGCCAGATAATCTTTCGTAATCCGCGCTGTGCCTTGACATCAAGCGTTATTATGCATGAAGCCGTCGCCTAAGTAGTAAACGTAAGAAACAACAGTGTCTGAGAGAATATCCGTAATGTAACGATCCGCTGTCAAACCTCCTCTGCGACCACCACCGGGCACGAACACAAGCTCTGGTTTTTCTTATAAAGATGTACTACCCCAAAACATACACGAACAACCTCCGTAGCTCTCCGTTTCGACACTATCACTGAGAAAATCCCTTTTCGATCCTTCGATAGACGTCATTGTTATACAAGCACATTTGAGCCTCGTCAGAGAATAAAACTCTGCTCCATTGGCCAAGGTCCCAATTTGACGTGTTCTCGGGCAAACTGAAGTCGAGCTTGTTTCTGACGTGCGTTCAATTTGGACCCTGTGTTAGCTCGTTTGTGAAACAAAGTGGCAACCTTAAGTCTTCTCCTAACTGTCCACTGAGTGATAGTGACACCTCGCACATTATTCGAGGATTATTGAAGCTCACCTCACGTCATTGTCACGTGCGGATCCTCAAAGGGACTTAGGACAATAAGTCGATTATCCTTTTCTATCCTTACACGTCGCCGACCCAAAACAGGTCATCGACTGTAGCTACTGATCTCTTGGTATCGACAGTATGTCCTTGAGTCTGCAGAATGCGTCATAAGTAGGCTACTGGCGACATTCCTCTGACTATAGTCTTTCCGTAATATTACAATTACCTGGATCGCCTTTACTGGTGAAGTATCTATTTATAAAATATTCAATAACTACAGTTTGAATTGTACTGAGTGTATGTTTAAAAAACCAAGTGAGACGACCACCGGCAAACTCATAGGTCTAAATTGCGTAAAATATGCCCGTTACGAATTAATACAAATAAATAGATGCGTGAGACAGGTTGACACAATATCACCGAAACTTTTCAATCAGGCTCTGGAAGATACTTTTAAAAGATTAGAATGGAAAGAAAATGGGTATAAAAATTTGTGGACAAAGATTGAACCATCTAAGGTACGCTGATGATATCGTATTGATAACCGATAAAACGAAGAATTATTTGAAATGATAAAAGAACTGGACGTAAAAGCTGGAAAGATAGGCCTTAATATGAATTACAAGATGAAATAGAACAAGTTCAAGATTAGGTATATATATATATTATATATATATATATATATATATATATATATATATAGTGAAACTCGCTTATTACGGCCTCGGTAGTTACGTCATCTCGGTTATAACGTCAATTTTTTAATAGGTCCGGTCAAAAACTATTCCATAACGTTATTAAAAACCCGGTTTTATCGGCTAAAAATAAACTAACCCTCGGTTATAGCGTCATAAAATTTTATAGTAGGTTATCCTTTTTTTATTTTATGAAGAATAATGAGTGCAATGCGTTTCTGGCTTTGCGGCATTTGTTCCTTCCAAGAATGTAAGAAAGGTCCATTATCCCTTCTGTGTACAGTTATGTTACCCTGACAATCTGTAATTTCGCATTTATCAGTGCCGTCCTAACACTCCTAACAGTCAAATTTTCTGTTTCGGAACAGTCGGTTTAAGAAATTTTCGCTACCGTGAAATTGTGTTCGGATCGTTTTGTTTTTTTTTTTATTTTAATTTGGTAATTAGCTTTATTTTTTTAATATGGCAAGTTGTAGCACTAAAAGGAAGGTTTTGCCTATTAAAGAAAAAGTGCGTGTTATAAGAGCATTTGAAAGTGGTCGAAAAATTGCTGATGTATGCCGGCAATTTGGACTTGTTAATTCGACTGTCGGCTCAATCATAAAAAACAACATAAAAGACAAAATTTTAAAAGCCTTTAAAGAGGATATAAACAATGTTAAAAAGATTAGGAAGTGCATTCGTGGTGATGTAGATTCAGCTCTACTCAAATGGTTCAAGCAGTGTCGCAGGTCTGATATCCCTGTGTCCGGGCCACTTTTAAAGGAGAAAGCTACAGAGTTCGGAAAATTGTTTGGTGAAGATTTCACATGCTTTAACGGCTGGTTAGATCGGTTTAAAGCCAGGCACTCAATTTCCTTCTCGAAGATTGTTGGAGAGGCAAAATGTGTGGACGAGAACGTAACATATGACTGGTTACAAAACACATGGCCACAACAAAGGCAACCATACAAAGATGAAGATATCTTTAATGGTGACGAGACAGGTGTCTTTTATAAATTAACGCCAGACAAAACTTTAAATTTCAAAAATCAAAAATGTGTCGGTGGAAAACTTCCCAAGCAAAGAGTGACGGCTTTTGTTTGTGCAAATATGACAGGTACAGAGAAAAGAAAGCTTTTGGTTATTGGGAAAAGTTTACATCCTAGATGTTTCAAAAACATTAAAACACTACCTGTAAACTACACAGCCAATAAAAAAGCATGGATGACTTCTGCTATGTTTGAAGAAGAATTGAGAAAATGGGACAAGGAACTCTCTTTCAAAAAAAAAAAATTCTTCTCCTAGTTGACAACTGTGCGGCTAATGGATTAAAAGAGAAACAAGTGGATAAGAGAGAAAACAAAAGTAAGGGATGTTAGACAAAAAGTTGCAAAATTGAAATGGAGATTTGCCGGACACAATATAAGACAAAAAGAAGACTGATGGAACAAAATTCTTATAAGTTGGAGATCGTGGGAATATAAAGGAAGCAGATGAAGTCTCCAAATGAGACAGATGATATCAAGAAGCACGTGGGCTTTAGGTGGATGACTGTAGCGACAGACAGAGAAGAATGGAAAAGGATTGGGGAGGCCTATGTCCAAAGATGGACCAAAGAAGGCTAAGTAGATAGATAGATAGAGGCCCGTTACAATGTTTGCTGCATTCCCAGTACCATATAGCAGTAGGAAAATTTTACACGTTGCCAATTTGCATGAAACGATTATTTTTTGGATCCCTATAATAGACATTATTTTTTGCATTAGTTGTTTTAATTCAAAGTAACATAACATAAAGTTACTAAGATCGAGTGAGATGTTTATTTTGCTCGCAAGTGTAGGATAATGTTTTAGAAAATTAGTTTTATAAATGATATTTGTTTATATAAAATATACTGATTTTCAGTGATCAGTTTATATTGACGGAGGATGGATATGGTAAAGTTGTGGGTAGAATAAAAGATATGATAATACGTGGAGGCGAGAATATTTATCCAAAAGAAATAGAAGAATTTTTAATCACCCATCCCGAAATCATTGAAGTACAGGTAAGATTTTCATAGCATATTATAAAAAAAATGTGTAATGGTAATTGTCTTCTATTAGACTTTAATGTTACAAATATTAAAAGAAAAATGTTCGTATCTCTTAAGTAAAATTTACTCATATTTAATTTCTAAAAGTTACTGTTACTATTAACCCTTTAATTTATAAAGTATACTAAAGTATGTGAATTACATGGGGGTTACACATAATATTGTTGATGATATCAAAACGACACAACTCAGATGGTACGGACACGTAAGGAGAATGCTGGAAAATAGAATACCAAGACAAATTCTTGAATGGCAACCAAGAGGTAGCCGTAGACCAGGAATGCCTAGAAGAAGTTGGAGAGAAGGAGTTGATAAAGAAATCAGGGAATGAGAACTGGAGGACGATTTATGGAACGATAGAATGAGATGCAGATTGGAAATCGGAAGACGTCGAAGAACGTTGTAAATTGACATTATGCATATATATATATATATATATATATATTATATATATATATATATATATATATATATATATATATATATATATGTATTGTGGCTAAACACCCGTACGGGGTTACGCCGCTTAAGCTCTCTAGATCTATTTTACGAGGTAGATCAGTCCTCATTTTCTTTATTTAATGTTTCTTGTTATTTTTCTCCACTGTTTCCTATCTCTGGTTTTTTGTCTCCATTGTCCTACGCCGCCCTGTTGAGATCGTTTGTTACTTCTTGTAGCCATGTAGATCTTGGTCTTCCACATCTTCGTTTACCAGCTGGTGTCCATTCCAATATTGAGAATATTGTCGTAGATGGTCCTGATCTCTATATATGTCCTAGCCATTTTGCCCTTTGCTGTTTTATTTTACAAACTATATCCTCTTTAATTTCGTTTAGTAGTTCATGATTCGTTCTTTGTCTATATTGGATTTCATTAATTTTTATTGGTCCTAATATTGCTCTTAGTATTTTCCTTTCTAGTATTCTAAAGTCTTCCTCTTGTTTTTTTGTCATGCTAAGGGTTTCGGCAGCATACATCATAGTCGGTCGAATTATTGTTTTATATATTTTCATTTTCGATTTTTTGCTCAGTAATTTATTTTTTAGAAGCTTTTTATTTGCATGGTATGTCTTATTTGCTGTAATTATCCTTTCTTTAATTTCTGTTTCCCTTTCTCCATTGTTTGCTAATAATATTCCCAAATACTTAAACTTTTCTACTTCTTCAAATATACCTTCTCCCAGTCTAACCTTTTTGTTTTCATATTTTTTGTAAAATCTCATTATTTTTGTTTTTTCTTGATTTATTACTAATCGCATTACTTTCCCTTCTGCTACCAATTCTTTTAACATACTTTCCATTTTTCTTCTGTTTTTTGTTATTATCACAATATCGTCGGCATATGCTATTATTTGTCCCTCTCTCGTTCTAAGTGTACCTTTGTTGATTTTTCTGACTATATATTCCAGGGCAAGATTAAACATTATATTATTTATAACAAATTCTTCTGTGTCTCCTTTTTGTGTTTTTACAGTTACTACGGTTTTGCTCATTGTCATTTTTATTGATCGTCTTAATTTGTTGTGTATTCTCATTTCTCTCATAGCTGTAAGTAATTTCGCTCTGTTTATTGAATCAAATGCTTGTTGCAAGTCTATATACAGCAGTTCAATTTCTATTTTATATCCATAAGCTTTCTCCATAATTTGCTTTACCGTATGTATGGCATATGTTGTTGACTTTCCCCTAATAAATCCGCATTGATACTGTCCCATGATATTTGTTGTCGCTTTGGCCAGTTTTCGTTGTATTAAGGTTGACATGATTTTATACGCTGTGTTTAATAATGTCAGTCCTCTATAATTATTACACATTTGTTGGTCTCCTTTTTTATGGATTGTGATAATTTGTCCTTTGTGCCATTCTTCTGGCATCTTTTCTTCGTCCCATATGACTTTTATTAATTGGTATATTTTTTCTGTAAGTTCATGTCCACCATATTTTATTAGTTTTATGTTTATACCGTCTATACCTGGTGCTTTACCGTTGCGACTACTGTTTATAATTTCCTCAACTTCATCTCTCGTTGGTTTTTCTAGCTCGGTTTCTATCATCGTGGTCTTTTCTTCCACATTTTCATTTAGGTCTTCGTCCTCTTGTACTGTTAATAATTCTTTAAAATAATCAGTCCAGATTTCTTTAAACTCTTTGTCATTTTTTGATACTTTTCCATTTCTATCCTTTATGCCTTTTATCTTTCCTTTGAAGGTTTTGTTCTGCTCGCTAATTTTCTTATAAAATGCTTTTGTATTTCTATTTGTGTTTTCTTTTTCTATTTCATTTATTTTATCATTTAACCAGGTTCGTTTAATTTTTCTTATTTGTTTCTTACATTCTGTCCTTAATTTGTTGTATTCTTCTTTATATTCTTGTCTATTTGTTCTGATCCACCTTTGTCTTATTTCTATCTTCTTTTTTAACATTTTATGACAGTCTTGATTATACCATTCTTTCATTTTATTCTTTCTCTCTATCCCTACATGTTCAGAAGCTGTTTCATTTATACATTTTTTTATATTGCTCCATTCTGTTTCAACATCCTCTGTATATTCACAGTATTCCTTCAGTTTTTTGGTTATATCTTCCGCATATTTAATTCTTCTATCTGTAGCATTTAATTTTTCTATGTACCATTTATCCTTTGTTGTCTTGTTTTTTAGCGTTCTTTTGACTTTTTGTCTTATCGTTGCGGTAACCATGAAATGGTCTGTGTCTGCATGTGCACCTCTGTATGTTCTCACGTCTGTTATTGATGTTTGCTTTTTCTTTGTGATGAGTATATGGTCTATTTGGGACCATGTTTTTTGGTCTGGTGAGACCCATGTTACTTTGTGGTATACAGGGTGTGCAAATTTTGTACTACTGACAATCATATTGGTGCTAGTTGCTAAGTTGCATAATCTTTAACCATTATCATTTGTTTTTTCATGTAATGTATATTTACCTGCAACTTGGTTAATGTAGTCTTCTTTGCCTATCTGAGCGTTAAAATCTCCCATTACCAGAATTGTGTCTTCTTTGGGTAAAGATTCAATTTCTTGTTCCAGTTTCTCATAGATGTTATCTTTTCTTCTGCTACAGCACTTTCAGTTGGTGCATATACGTTTATGATGGATATATTAAATGGTTTGGCGTTAATTCTCAGGTATGCCATGCGGTCATTTATTGGTTTAAATTGCATAATATTATTTTGTATTTTTCCTGTAGTTATAAATGCAACTCCATATTGACCTTGTTTTTCGTGCCCAGAGTAGTGTAATGTGTAATTTTTTTTATTTATTTCTCCTTGACCTGCCCATCTAATTTCTCGAATTGCTGCAACATCAATTCCGTATCTTTCCAGCTCTGAGACAATCTCTTGCATTTTTCCTGGTTCAAGCATTGTTCTGATGTTCCACGTACTTATTTTTACTTGCTCGTGTTGTTTAATTTTTTTGTTATGTTTTTTTATGTACGTATGTTTTATTATTTTTTCTTGAAAATTCATATCCTTTTTCTTTGCCATTTCGTATTTCGTTTCTTGTTGGATATCCGATATTTCTTGTTGTATCAGTTTTTTGACGTCCCTTGGTTATCTTTTTCCAACTCTTTTTTTTTCTTTATTCCATTTCCATATGTCTCCGTCAATATTTAGTTTTTGATAGCCAACTCGGATGTTCTTACCTTTAAGTTTTTCTAATTTTCCAATTTTCCGTATTTCCTGTTGTATCTTCATCTCTTCGTGCGTTAGATCATTATTAATGTATATTTCTTTTTTTTTTTTGTAGTATTTTTGCAGTATTTTTGCATCATCCGAATTTTTAACAAATATATTGAGAAGCCTAATTAACAATAATTATAATATATTACCACACAGTAAATACAATTTATTATGTTCTTTACGTATAACAAAAAATTAACGAGTTAGTTAATCATATAACATACACTCTGGAGAATGTCTCCATGCAATAAAGAATTACTAGATATACATATAGTTATTTAAACGATGTGAGTTATGATAATTATTATCAACACAAAAACGAACATAGTATCGAAACTAAATAGTAGAATACGTAATATTAACCTTTTTTAAAATATTTTCATTAAATTTATCTTATTTGTTTCCAGCACATTCGTTTTCAACAGTTTACAAATTAACAAATCTATAGTATTTATAAAATAAAACTACATGTTACATATTTGAGGCCACACTTAAAAATAAAAATCTAATCGACTAAAGAAGTCAATATGACAAGAAATATTTGGGGCCATGCCCAAAAGTTAAAAAGGAGGCCGCTGGAGGAATTTACACGGCAAGGAAACTTGCCAGTGTCCAAATAACGGACACGCTTACTTTACGTCTATCAAAAAAAACAAAAAATGGTCTAAGCAAAGCCGTGGCGGCTTTGCTTAGACTTTCCAGATAACTTTATATTGCCAATGGTATGTCTCACCCAGGGACTGTAATAAATGTCTGTAAAATTAGCATATTCATTTTATACTACCTACATCTCGGCACGGAAAAGTGGTACATAGCCCGTTTTGGCGGCATATTTTATAACTAATTAATTGCTGTTTATTGGTATAAGAACCAATCTCCAAAAACCCACCCATAATACCCTAGCTGAACACACACCCCCGAAAAAACCGAGATATTGACCAAAAGGCAAACCGCAAGAATTGGTTGCTAATTTATTTTCATATGTTTTACGCCAAGAAAAACAATTTTTGAAACATAAGGATTTATATCGAGAATCTCGCAAAAAAAGAATCTGCATCGCTCCTGAGCTTTAAAGAGGTAGCTCCAAAATTAGTAATTAATAATACTAAAGTAAAAATTTAATATAAAAATAAAAAATAAAAAAATTATTATAACTCGTATAATAACACTCACTCCGCGTATTTGCACAAGAGAAGAAGAATCAAGATATAATTTAAACGAAAAAAATGTCTAAATCTTTTACCAACATAA